TGCGTCAACCATTGACTTTGCATGTAAACTCGCTGCTTCTGCCGCGTCCGGTGTGAACGTAACATTATGGAATGTAGATGATTTTCAGTTTTTTTTTTCCTTTAAAGCCTTTTAAAAGTTTTTGATATTAATTATATGTGCTTAACTGTGAGTGAAGAAAATATCCAGAAAATCTAATTGGTTTTTTTTTTGTAAGTGACTTGCATTTGAATTTAATGACTTAATACTTGGGGCAGAAAGTTTCCATCATAATCAGCTGATTTTAACACTATTGATAATCAACGGTTGGACTTTAAAAAGAGAAATATTGGATATAAACACAAATGAGTTGAAGCCCTTTGCCAATCGAGGAGTGGACTGAACCCCTGCCAAAAGCAGATTTTTGACTATGAATTAAATTAGCATTAACTTGGTACTAAAGATGTGTCTCATGGGTTAAATAATTTAATTGCAGGACAGAAATGCATGCCAGCTGTTCTGCACTTCTACCGCATCAATCTGTCCTTTAGTCTGTCAGTTGAAAGGCAAATAACACCCAACGTTTCCACACACACCCCATGCCACCCAACATGTGGGTTCCAGGAAGCTCACAGAGGAATACCGCAGCGGGAACCAGGCAACGTGCCATACGAGACATGCGTACTTGGAAGAACGTCAATACGCAACACATGCAATCTCGGATGCGTTGTTTTGAACTGTGGCACATTCTTGCAGTCAGCCTGCAGCCTTGATGAGTGCGTTTGACAGCGAGAGTGTTTACTCAGCTCTCTGCACACGGGAAGAGACTTTCCTTCCTCCAGGAAGGTTGATGAATTCGGTTTTTAACAGGATTACGACTGTTCCCAGGCTTTATTTTCAATTCTAGTAAAGGTAAATTAGAAAAGCTAAGCAGCAGTTGGACAAACATTTAAATTTGGTTTTTAGCTTTTGGTGTGAAGCTTTGATTCTAAGCTACTGAATGCATGAACCCTGAAGGGGGAGGCATGAAGAGCACCTACGTACAACCTATTAAAAATCACTCACTGGTCTTATTACTGCTCGCATAAATGCTTATTAATAAAGTATTTGTTTTTTCAATACTTTTTACTTTTCTCACTCTATTTGAACACTAATATCCAGCTCAGTAGACGGCTTCCAACACAGTGGGCAAAGGAGGGAAATGAACCTCTTTTCTGCACATAGAACCATTTTTGTAAAGTTTTTACATAAATAAAATGTTATACATGTATTTTTTTATGTAGGTAAAGAAATTCAAGTGGGACTTTTTCCTCTTATGTCTTTTTTTGTTGTTTGTTTACGCTGGAATCTGTGTTTTTACTCAATTAAAGAGTACTTATGACACTTCTGTTAATGTTACCCTGAAGAAATAAAGCTGTAAATGTTTTTTTTTTTCTTTCTTTAGCAAAGAGTAAATGAATCTGTCTGCACAGGACCATGTTAAGACGGGTTGGATAACATTCCCATGATGCTGCGTACTCGTGCTAACTGAGCTGTGCTGTAATGAAAAGCTCATGAAAGAGATAATGGGTTAAATCGTCCATGCTAATGGGACAAACACAACTTTAGCGGTTAAAAAAAAAAAATGAGTTAACACTGCTGGTTTGTTTTGATCAAAAGTCATCTTAAGAAAATACAGCAATTATTGGCTTTTGTTTAGACCTTAGCTCCACCGCCATAACTGTTCAGACAGATTTCATACAAGCTTTTTATAGATGTTGTTTTTGGAACTTTAAATAAGGAAGCATGGGGAGGGAGCGGGAGGAAAACAAAAGAAAATCTTAAGGAATGCACAATTTAGATATTTAGATTCAATTGCATCCTCTGTGTTTTATAGTAACCTGTGATCACCAAGGGTGTGTTTGATTTCAGACGCTGCGTCCTCCAAAATAAGGAGGCCGGAAGAGTTCATAGATCCAGCCTTCTCTGGCTTTCTCCACCCGTGCGCTTTGTTGACTAGCAACTGTGACAGTTGACACACTAAGCAGACATTTTTCTCAATTCACAAGACACGATTACGGACTCGTGTACTCGTCAAGTATGTTCTTGAGAAGAACACGGATAAATAAAACAAAAAAACTCGCCATCAGAGCCAGCGGTCCTTCACACACCTCTATGCTGATAAAGGGCTGCTGCAGATGGGCTGACGTTAGCGCTGGCTGCGGTTAGCCTCTGAGGTCTGCTGGTTGCCGCGGTCCTCTCAACTTCTGAAATTGTTTTTAAAATTAAGTAATAAATTAGTAAATGGGCCATATAGTGACGCTTAAAAATATAATGTTCTCGCCTGAAATGATCTTAAAACGTACTTTTACACTGGGATGCACGATATTGGGATTTTGGCCGATATCCGATATGCCGATATTTTAAAACTCATGTAGCCGATAACCGATATCGATACTGATGTTAAAGCTGGACAAAAATAAGTACCGGTAGTCATTGAAAATAGCAGTTTTGTTATCCATTTCTTACACAAATGATGTACTCAAATATATTTTCATACGCTGATATCAAATTGATTTTTAAAAACGCGGTATCGATCTATTTTACTTTCAAAATCTCGTGAAATTTTGCAAATTCTTGTGAGATTTTGTTAGTAAAATAGATCGATACCGCATAAATATATCAACATATAAAAATATGGCAAAATTTCGTGAATTTTCGGGGGATTTCGTAGCATAACGATTACATATAGCAATATTTCATTAGTAAAAGAGATTGATATGGTGTTTTTAAATGGCAATATACAGGTGCTGGTCATAAAATTAGAATATCATGAAAAAGTAGATTGATTTCAGTAATTCCATTTAAAAAGTGAAACCTGTATATTATATTCATACATTACATACAAACTCATATATTTCAGATGTTTATTTTGTTTAATTTTGATGATTACAAATGACAACAAATGAAAATCTCAAATTCATCATATCAGAAAATTAGAATATTGTGAAAAGGTTCAAAATTGATGGCCCCTGGTGCCACACTCTAATCAGCTAATTAACTCAAACCACCTGCAAAAGCCTTTAAATGGTCTTTCAGTCTAGTTCTATAGGCTACACAATCATGGGGAAGACTGCTGACTTGACAGTTGTCCAAAAGACGACCATCGACACCTTGCACAAGGAGGGCAAGACACAAAAGGTCATCGCTAAAGAGGCTGGCTGTTCACAGAGCTCAGTGTCCAAGCACATTAATAGAGAGGCGAAGGGAAGGAAAAGATGTGGTCGAAAAAAGTGTACAAGCAAGAGAGATAACCGCACCCTGGAGAGGATTGTGAAACAAAACCCATTCAAAAATGTGGGGGAGATTCACAAAGAGTGGACTGCAGCTGGAGTGAGTGCTTCAAGAACCACCACACACAGACGTATGAAAGACATGGGTTTCTGCTGTCGCATTCCTTGTGTCAAGCCACTCTTGAACCACAGACAGCGTCAGAAGCGTCTTGCCTGGGCTAAAGAGAAACAGGACTGGATTGCTGGTGAGTGGTCCAAAGTCATGTTCTCTGATGAAAGTAAATTTTGCATTTCCTTTGGAAATCAAGGTCCCAGAGTCTGGAGGAAAAGAAGAGAGGCACTTCATCCACGTTGCTTGAAGTCCAGTGTAAAGTTTCCACAGTCAGTGATGGTTTGGGGTGCCATGTCATCTGCTGGCGTTGGTCCATTGTGTTTTCTGAGGTCCAGGGTCAACGCAGCCACATAGCAGGAAGTTTTAGAGCACTTCATGCTTCCTGCAGCTGACCAACTTTTTGGAGATGCAGATTTCATTTTCCAACAGGACTTGGCACCTGCACACAGTGCCAAAGCTACCAGTACCTGGTTGAAGGACCATGGTATCCCTGTTCTTAATTGGCCAGCAAACTCTCCTGACCTTAACCCCATAGAAAATCTATGGGGTATTGTGAAGAAGAAGATGCAATACACCAGACCCAACCATTCAGAAGAGCTAAAAGCCACTATTAGAGCAACCTGGGCTATCATAACACCTGAGCAGTGCCACAGACTGATCGACTCCATGCCACGCCGCATTGCTGCAGTAATACAGGCCAAAGGAGGCCCAACTAAATACTGAGTGCTGTACATGCTCATACTTTTCATGTTCATACTTTTCAGTTGGCCAACATTTCTATAAATCCTTTGTTTTTATTGGTCTTCAGTAATATTCTAATTTTCTGATATGATGAATTTGAGATTTTCATTTGTTGTCATTTGTAATCATCAAAATTAAACAAAATGAACATCTGAAATATATGAGTTTGTATGTAATGTATGAATATAATATACAAGTTTCACTTTTTAAATGGAATTACTGAAATCAATCTACTTTTTCATGATATTCTAATTTTATGACCAGCACCTGTATCAGCATGTGAAGATATTGGGATATTTTAATGTATCTATATTTTTTCCCTCGTCTTTAGAAGTTTTTAAGTCTGTAAAAAAAGTTTTTGAGGAAGAACAAGAAGTAGGATTTTTTTTAAATTTTTTTTTTAGACTTTAGAAACTCAGAAGCTGATCAAATATCGGGTTAAATATCGGTGTGGTGGCCGATGTCTGATATTCAGTTTTAAGGCCGATACCGATAGGGGGCCGATTATATCGTGCATCCCTATTTTACACAACAACGGCAACAGAAAAGAGAACTTTTAACTTAATACTGAGCTCTGTGAGCGCTAACCTGGAAGCTGCTGCTGCCGCCGTGCATGCTGGGATGGCTGTCAATCTCAAGAACAAACAAGTCTGCTCTGATGCATGCTGGGTAAAAAGGGAGGGGCGAGAACAACATCCGGGGACTTTGTCCGACAAAACTTTGCTAAAAGGTTGCATACAGAATGGGCAAATGATGGAGAAGTATGTAAAGAAAGATGAGGGAAGTGGGGGGGGGGGGGTTGACTTAATCGATTGATTTAAAAAGAAGAGAAAAACAATTTTCAAATATTTTTTTCCAAACAGGTGGAAGCTTCTTTTGTTTCCTGCAGGCTAATGGGTTCCTCCCATTCTCCACAGGTTACCTGATCATGACGGACGACTGGTTCTCAGAGTACGTCTACGAGGTGGTGGTGGACAAGAAGTTCCTCTCCGATGATGTCATGCAAGTGATGCAACAGGAGCCCGTTGTACTTCCTGCGTGGGACCCAATGGGAGCGTTGGCATAAAAATCACAAATGCAGGTTTTAGCCCCACCCCCTGGTCTAATTGACTCCACCCTCTTCCTCAGCTGCTTTTAAGTCCAATGGTTTCCTCATGCCGCCTATAAAAGAGCTTGTTCTTATAGGAAAAATAAAAACGTTTCTTTTTTACTCAACTGCCTTCGTTTGTTGTCTTTATCCTAAGTACAATGTTTCTTTAATTTTCCTCACCGTTAGTATGTCATGGTTGTGAAATCAGCTAAATTTTTTGATGAATATCAGCCAAATAAATCTAATTTTGTTATTGCTTTAGATAAAAATATCCTTTCTCACATTTAGTAAATTAAACTCCTCCTGTGCTGCTGAACTGAACTCAAAGAAAGAATGAATGTTTGCAACTTTCGGGGTCTTTATCTTCATCGCCGCAGCGATTTAGACTTAAAAATGGAGTCAGGGTTACTGTGTTTGTTACTAAGGGAAAACTTCAACACCTCTTGTTGCTACATAATCTAAGTATAAAACAACAACGCAACAAAATGCTAAACACAACCTCCAGTTAGCTAATAGCATGCAGGTTTTTAACTCTTTAACTTGGATGCAACCAGCTCAATCCAAGGAAGCAGCAATGTGTCCGCCGTCGCCATGATAAATGCTGGCCATCAGGAAGGAGCTAGAAGCAGGGAGCAGGATGCTTTCTAATGCTAAGTAGGTTTTTTTTTTTCTTTTTTTGGACAAAAGTAAAAATCCATCCTTTATTTTCCAAACAATTACAATTGAGCTAAAACAACCTGAAAGCAAAAAGTGAATCTTGATTCAATTCCAGCTTTTATTTTCAGTTTATTTGTATATCGCCAATTCACAACACCTGTCATCTCAAGGTACTTTCCAGTTCACCAGATCACCCAGTCAAAATGATTCAAAGTTTTCTATCTAAGGAAAACCAGTTGATTGCATCGACTTTTCCAGAACCTTCTGATGGATCTAAATCCGTCCAGTTATGATGACCCTTTTGAGGCGGCTGCTTATAGCTATGACCTCCACCAAGGAGGTTATGTTTTCATCGCCGTCAGTTTGTTTTCAAAATAACTGAAAGAATTTAAAAAAAAAATGTGCAACAGATTATTACATTTTGGTGAGGATTCAGATCCTACGGAAGAGGATTAGGGATACTGAAAAAAAAAAAAAAAGTTAACTGATTTTTTAATTTTATTTCAATTTAGTATTGGAAAAAAGTCAGAATTCTGACTTTTTTTCTCAGAATTCTGACTTTTTTTTCTCAGAATTTTGACTTTAATATCAGAATTCTTGCTTAATCTCAGAATTCTGGCAGATAGCAAACATGTTAGCATCAAGCCATAGCCATGTCTTTTTTAGTGACTAGCTCTCTTGTTTTAATGACCTTCTGCTCTTCTATTAATGAGGGGACCCCTCGGACACGTAAAAAGTTGCCTAATTCCGTCAATTTCCACCAATGTGTCACTGGCCACTAGAGATGGCAAAAGTACTCACTTTCCGTACTTTAGTAAAAGTACAGATACTTGTGTTAAAAAATACTCTGGTAAAAGTGGAAGTACTGATTACTCAAGTAAAAGTAACAAAGTACAGGCTTGTAAATTTACTTAAAGTATAAAAGTAAAAGTAGAAACCACTTTTTTCATGCCGTTGCCTACATTTTAAATGGATGTCTGCCAATAGGACTAGATCTCCGTTGTGTTCATTTTCAATCATCTCGTCGTCCATGCTACTATGCTAACGCTACCGCCACCAAGCTGCAATGATTTGCCGCGAATGAATACCGCCGAATCTGTCGATTCATCTTGTAGTGGTGCGTCAAATGCAACGTAGATTCCCATCCAATTAGATTGAATTTGGTATTGATGACGTGAAAAATAATAATGGTAAATCCATTGAAATGATTCAAAACTAAAGTAACGAGCCAATTTTTTAAAATGTAAGGAGTAGAAAGTACAGATATTTGTGTAAAAATGTAAGGAGTAGAAGTAAAAAGTCGCAATAAAAATAAGTAGTAAAGTAAAGTAAAAATATCAGAAAAATCTACTTGAGTACAGTAACAAAGTATTTGTACTTTGTTACTTCCCATCTCTGCTGGCCACCTCAAACAATTCACATCTTTGTCAGTGAAGCTGAGTGCTCCACATCTCTGCCTTCAGGGTGCCCAACTACATTAAGATCCAAAATTCTAAGAAAAAGTCAGAATTCTGACTTTTTTCCATTACTAAATTGAAATAAAATTTAAAAATCTGTAAACTTTTTTTTTTTTTTTCAGTGGCCCTAATCCTCTTCCGTAAGATCCCCATCTGGATCCAGGAACTTTTGTTTTAAAAGACAATATGTCTTGCTGGAGGTCTGTTTTCAGAGTGCTTCTCTAGTTTTTAATTCTTATTGAGTTCTTGGTACCTTTTCATAATAAGACCAACCCAGCTACCAAAACCTTCCTATGGTGTAAAATGAAGCCCAATTAGGACTTAAGGTTTTGTCATTAACAGCAGAATCTGATCACTCACGGTGGTGGTAAGTGTGCCGTGTATTGAACAGTCAGATTTTCACTAATCTTGACTGATACTTTGTTGCCCCTTTCAACTGGGTGAATGGCAGAGATATATATATTTTTTATATTAATCAGATACATCATATGCCAGAGGTTCCCTGTTTTCCCAGAGATAAATCATCATGTCCTAAACTATTAACTTAGAATAGTGAATAGAATTCATCTTTATTGTTATTACATTGTCGCAAGTACAAAGCAATGAAATTCACCTCAGCATTAACCGATCCCCTTGGGGCGCAGTGGGATGCCATATTGCGGTGCCTGGGGAGCAGTTTGGGGTAAAGTGTCTTGCTCAGGGACCCAGAGTGGCAGTCAGTAAGTGTGTTGCTTAACCTCAGAATCTCTGGTAACTGCGACAAGCCTGGTTTATGCTCAGAAACCAGGTTGAATGTGTTTGTGTCGCAGTTAACGCAGAAACCGGTGCACCTCCCCAAAATTGTAGGTGATCACAGACAGTGATGGCGTCACAGGGAGGAGAGAAAGAAGGCCTCTGGTCAATTCTACCTTCTGCCTGGCGCACCTTGGACACTATCCCAGACACCGTATAGGACGCTAGTTGCAGCTCTGAGCCACGGTCTTTTGGTTTGCACCCGAAACTAAAACACGCATCGCCATGGCGAGTCATTAGGGAACACTCACGCTGAACTGTGTTGTTGTAGTTGTAGATGGCGAACAAGCTTGTCAAACTGACTCATGGACACCCCCAATCCTAGCTAGTTTGTGATTGTCCCTCTTGCATTGTGGCGTGGAGTAACATAGCGCAAACCACGCTTCAAAATTGGGCATAAATCAAAGATATCTATCATACCTGCGACAAGCTAATGCTACACACTGCTGCTGAAGTATGCACAGCTATTAGCTTCTTGTGCTGTTTGACTAAAAGCCACTCATCAGGCTCAGCCCTGCAGAGAGTTGGCACTGGTCACAGTCGTCTATCCGAGAGTAAAGTCAGAGAAGAAGAAGAATTTGCTTTTCTGCACGTGCGCGAGGTTCAAATTTGGCTCGTAGCTCTGCTTCAAAAGCAGGATTCGCCATTGAACACGTCACGAGGGCCGACTGAATTTCAAACCTGTTGGATTTTCTCCTGGCCTTACGATTACTGGTCAGGAGCTGCTTGTGAAAGGCTAATTCCCCCTGTACACTACACAACAGAGGGCGCACCATGAGGCTGAAACCCGGCCCGATCCAAAAAATCTGCACACATTTAGAGAATTGGTCCAAAAAGGGCAAAAACTCGTTTACTATATATACCCGCCCTGGTCTGTACCAGCGCTAAAACTTGACTGATGCTTACTCTTTTTTTTTTTTTTTTCCTCAGTTTCCTTTTTGATTTGTTTTTAGGCTTAATTGAGGGAAAGAAGAATCTGTTTCTAAGCTCTATCATTGAGCTTCTAGGATCTGAGCTTTATATCAAATGACTGAACTGTAAAGTGCCTTAAGATGAAATGTGTTGTGAATTTGGCGCTATATAAATAAACTGAATTGAATTGAAATGACTCCAACCGAGAGATTCATAAAATTCATATATTTTGGACCCGTCAAAATTTTTGCAACAGTTATTTATGTTCAATTCTTCCTTTCTTTTCAAAATTAATACTTTACTTTTGCACCAGTCTAAACGTTCTTTGGAGGGATTTTTTTAAATAATTTTTATGAAAAAGTTGTAGCTTTGACCTTTAAAGTCGTAGGGTAGCGGCCGTTCCAACCATTGCATTTCTGAATTCTCCCCAAGTGGTGCCCGAATTTACACAGGAGAATAAAGTGAATATGATTGGTCATTTATCAAGAGGGCGGGATTGTTGTGGCTGAAGGTTCACACAAGCAAGTTTGATTGTGGCCGGCCTCTCGGAAGCATCTTGCTAACCAGTTAGCACCTTATTGCTAGTAGGTTCCCAATGGGAAATTCCATTGGGACCAAGTAGCACTAAATTAGTGACTTAGAAACGACGCTGTCAATGAACGCTATGGACAGCGGAAACATGCAAGAGGAGGAGAGTTTTGTGTCGGAGGTCGTGGATGAGTCTCCTCCGTCATCCATTTTTTATTTAGAGGAGGAAAGCGGGGACGAAGATGTTGTGGAAGAGGACGCCAGGGCGGCAGAAGCTTGGTTTGGTGTAGAAGGCTTCCAGCCGTACATGTTTGAGCCCTTGCCTCGCAACGCTGCCAGTTCTGTTAGCTCTACGCCTGCTGAAGACACAGACGTCCATCCCCGTGAACACTGGGACGGAACTCAATGGGAAGGAAAGGATTCTGATTTCAACCGTTGCGTATATTAGCTGCGACACATGAATCAAGATGCTATGACCGAAAACAATTGATTGACAGATGACCTTTCATATATGATTGGCCGAATTTAGGTGTAGAAGCTGACGTATAACGAGGTAAGATTTTAAGACAGGATTTTTTTTTTTTAATAGAAATTTTCTACATTTTGGAACAATATCATCTGATAAAGAGTAGATTTATATACATGTTTAAGCCAGAATTATTTGACATTTAGATATGATTTCCCTATGACTTTAAAGGTGGAAATTTACTAAAAAAAATGTATCATGACTTTATGTTTGTATCACAGAAACCTGGCAAATGAACTGGAAAGTGCTCAGA